AGGGCCTCTGGACAGACATTCTCCTCTTTCCCCGCCTACAGCATCCACAACGGGGTGATCGCCGTCTTCCAGCGCAAGGGGCTGCCCGACCAGGAGCTTTTCAGCCTCAACGAAGGCGTCCGGTGAGTGGCCGTCTGTCCTGTTCCGGGCCTGGGTCTGGGAGTCGGGGGAGGGCCTAGGCTGAACCCTCCCCACCACCATCCCCCAGCCTCAGGTTCTACCATTAGGACAGAGGTAGCAGTGACCACCGCGGGGACCTTAGCCGCAGGTGCTGTTCCCTTCACCCCCACCCCGCCTGACAACTCCTTTTCAGGGAGGCAGGGTGGGACTTGGACAGTGGTTCAAGATAACACCCGCATTCCTCGCTGGTGTTGAGCATCACAGAGGATATTTATTCTGTTAAAAGAGGAAGGACCCACCTGCTTAATGATGGGAGTGTCGTTTCCAGAAAAGCAATTACAGCCGGCCGAACGCCCCTCATTTCCTGTGCATAGCCGAGAACTGAGCGCTTGTGAAGGCGCCCAGGACAGCCCAGCTCCGAGGGAGTCTGCAAGGCCGGTGCGTTAGTCCTGCATTGTAGTGGAGGCTGAAGCTCAGAGAGGTGCAGTGAATTGTCCAGGGTCACACAGCCGCCGCGGAGGGGCGTCTCCCACCTCTGTGCTTTTCCTCCCGCCCCAGCCCGTGCTACTCTGGCCCCGCATCAGAAGACTCTTTGGGAAAAATAGGCAGCAAACCTCCTCATCAGCCGGGGCAGGAGTTAAAGGGTGCTGGGGACAGGGTCACCCCACCCCCACCCCCGCAATGGCAGCGCTGAAACGGCCCTTACACAAGGTAAACGGAGGCCCAGGCTGGGAGAGGGGCTGGCTGAAGTCACAGAGAACAAGGGCTTGTTGCCTCCCCGAGACCCGATGTGTGTGACCGGAATTCCAGGGGGTCCTGCTTTTCTTGGGCTCATGTGACCAGACAGGGGTGGGGCCCTAGGAGCCACTGGGGGTCTCAGTGGGGCCCACAGCAGCCCTGTTTTCCTAATACGCCTCTGCTTAGGGTAAAAGGAGTTCTTTTACCTGAAGAATCGGCTGGATGTTTAAACAACAAAAACAAAAGAGGAAGTATTTCTAAATTCATGGACAAAGCAGCAAGGACAGCCCTCCTGCAGTGTGTACATCCTTCCCATCCCGTGGCAGAAGCAGCAGGCGTGATCGCCTGGCCTCCAGCCGCCTCCTCTCCACGGGGACTGTGACTGTAGCCCCGGTGTCCCCGTGCCCAGCCCTGGGGGGGGCTGGCACAGTGGGTGGCCTCCCTCAGGAGCGTGTGCTGGGGATGGAGGGCAGAGAGGCTGCCCTGGGCTCCAGGTCACCCTCGCCAGCCCCAGGGTCCTTTCCTAAGAATCAGGTAGAGGTCAGGTGATGTGAGGCTTGGAGCTCCTGGCCAGTTAGGCTGTTTGGGGCAGTATCTTTTTAGCCAGTCGAAAATTAAATGGTGGCGATTGTTAAGTAATAACAGAGCCTTTCTGTTGAGGGTTTGTTCTGCGCCGTGAGCTTTCTCCATGCCCTGTGCTCTCTCTGTGTCCCTGAGGACCGGGCACCTTATGGTCCCCATTTTACAGATGAGGAAACCGAGGCACAGAGAGGGCGTGGGCTGCTCAGGGTCACAGGACTCGTCAGCAGAGCTAGGGCTCAGGCCCCCGACTCCAGGGCCTGTGGGTTCTTCTCCCCCGCGCTGCCCCCCCAGCTCATCTGCATCACATGGCCACATTAAATTGAGTTTAATTGTGCAGTAAATCCGTTATTGGTCATTAGCTTTGATGCCACGAGAGAGCCTTGTGACTGGAGCCACCGACTGTCCTGTTATCTGATGTTTTCCACTCAGTTCTGAGGATGGTCAGTGCGGGTGAGGGCCGGGGCTCCCTCAGCTGTCCCCAGGCACGGGCGGGGCCAGGGTCAGCGCACTGTCACAGGATTCTGACGTCCGTCCATCATTCTCGTTTTCTGCCATTTTATATAAATGTGTGTGTGTGTGTGTGTGTTTTTAAGATATGATTTGCTCTTTTAAAATGTACAGTTCAGTGATTTTTAGTATATTCACAAGGTTACGTGACTATCACCACTATTTAATTCCAGAACATTTTAATCATGCCCCCCTCCCAAAAAAAGCCCCTTAACAGCCATGCCCCGTTCCTCCCCTCCGCCGGCCTCCGGCAAGTACCAGTCAGCTTTGCCCCTGTGGATGTGCCCTTCTGGACGTCTCACGTAGACGGGGTCACACAACACACGTGTGGCCTTTTGCATCTGGCTTCTTTCTCTCAGCGAAATGTTTCTTGCTCGGGGTTCGTCCACGTTGGAGGGTCTGTCAGTCCTTCGTGTCTCTTTACTGCCACATAATATCCTGTTGTATGAAGAACACACCATCTTGCTTATCTAGTCATCTAATGATGGATATCTGGGTTGCTTCCACCTTTTGGCCATTGTGAGAAGCGCTTCTGGGAACGCCTGCATATGAGACCTCGTGTGGACCTGTGTTTTCACGCTGTCGGGTCTGCGCCTGCGGGTGGACTTGCTGGGTCGTGTCCAGGAGCCTGGCCCTGAGAGGGTCTGGACTACAACACCCATCATCATCTCGGCCCCCGAAAGTGTGCACTGCCAGTTGTCCACATGAGTACAAAGGACGTGGCTCAGCTTCTAGCTCGGCGTGTCCTGTGTGCCCTTGGACAAGTCGCTTGACATCTCTGAGCTTCTCTCATCTCCCCTGTAAAAGGGAACAGCAGTCAACACCTGCTGCTGGGTTGGTGAGGACAGAATAAGCTTCTCTAGAGTAAGGGAGGAAACACCTCAAGCCGCCCTGCAGGGGAGAGAGGGCAGAGAGCAGGGGCTGTGAGCCGGGGCCGGGGGCGGGCTGCCAGCTCTGAGATTAGGTGTGGACGAAGGGGTGGGGCTGGGTGTTGGAGGCCCGGCCTGCCGGGTGTCCCCCAAGAACCTGAAGGATGCCTGTGACCCTCGCTTCTATTAGCGGACCCCTCCACTTCCCCTCGTGTGAATCGGAGGGGTCCTAGGGAGCCACTGCCGTGGCCCAGGGTGCACGCGGCCTCCCCGCAGGGCTGGGCCGGGCACGTGCCCCCCTCATGTGGCTGGGCTGTGCGGCCACCACCCCAGCCTCCAGCCCTCACCAGCACCAGGCGGTCCCTGACTCCCGCCTCCCTCACTGGTCTCCCTTCCCGCCCACAGGCAGCTGCTGAAGACGGAGCTGGGGTCCTTCTTCACGGAGTACCTGCAGGTGGGTGCTCTGTGCTCTCCAGCCGGGCCGGGGTTGCTTCCTGAGCTGGCCAGAAGGGACGGGGGCACCCATTCCTGGTGGGTGCAGGGAGCGCTAGGTCTCCGCCTTGCCGTGACTCGGTTTCCCCATCCAGCCAGTGCAGCTGGTTGGGAAGGTTGCATGATCAGGTGCAGGTGAAGACCCAGCGCTGTGGCCGGCACAGGCCGGGGCTTGAGGCTAGTTCTCGGTCGTCCGCCTCCTCCCGGAGCATCAGTATAGGTTCCCAGAGTCTGTGTGTAGGTGTCTACATACCCCAGCGCCCCGAGCTGTGGGATGACGGTGTGGGCGTGTCACCAGCATCGCCAAGGCCACTCTGCCCAGACGCTGTAGCTCCAGGCCTGCAAAGTCGATGAACATGCAGGGTCCTGGGGCTCGGGGAGGCGAGAGAACTGTCAAGGTCGCGCAGCCAGGAGGGCCGAGTGGTGCAGGGACATCCTCAGGCGGGCTCGGAGCAAGGCGCCCCCTCCCAGGAGAGGGTGAGGCAAGGGCCAGCCTGTGGGTTTACGGTCGGTTGTTTTTCATTTAACAGCTTTACTGGGGTGTAATTCACAGACCCCCAGTTCTGTGCACCCGCTGAAAGGGGACACTTCAGGGGAGTTTGGTGTAGTCAGAGCCGTGCAGCCGTCCCTGCTGTCCAGTTCCAGGACTTTATTCATCGTCACCGGGAAGGAGGTCCCATGTTTATAAACAGTCCCCATCCCACTCTCCCCCGAGCCCCAGGCCGCCGCTGGTCTCCGTTCTGCCTCTGGACATTTCTATCAGGACCGCACAGCATGTGGCCTTCTCTGGCTCCTGTCACTGAGCACAGCAATCTCAAGGTTCATCCGCAGTGTCGCCTGTGTCAGAGCCTCGTTTTTTTCTTATGGCTGAATAGCATTCCCTTACATGGAGGGGCCACGTTTTGCTTATCCACTGCGCTGTCGGTGGCCCCGGGGTCACCTGGCTGCTGTGACTGGTGCTGAGACCACGCGGTGTCACTCTGCTACGCCCAGGAGGTGTGCACAGGGTCTGCAGTTCGAGCCTCCCGTGGGTGATGGCAGCGCCCAGGCCCGGCCAGTCTCGGGGTGAGGGTGGCCCCTGCTCCACCCCCTGTCTCAGGACGGCCCAGCTGGATCAGTTGCCCACGTCCACCCAGGGAGTTGAGGTTCCCGCTCTGGGCCTTGGCTGCTTGTTGGTAGACTCTTGGGGGTCCTGCCTGCTGGGACCCCACGGAGCAGTGACCGTATCTCCACATGTGCCTTTCAGAACCAGCTGCTGACAAAAGGCATGGTCATCCTCCGGGACAAGATCCGCTTCTACGAGGGTGAGTCTGGTGGCCCTGTGGCTGGACTGGTGCCGGGCCACACTGCTTGCTGGGAACCGTGGCCCTGCCAGCTCACCCGGGCCCCTCAGCTGGGTGGGCGGTGTGGCTCTCCTGGTTGAGGGAGCTCAGAAGGGGCAAAAGCAGTGCCTCGAGGGCGGCAGGGCTGAGGTCTGACCCCAGAGGGGACCCTGTAGGGAAAAGTGTCCCCCACCTTGCCGGAGCCCAGGAGGGCCGAGAGGCGACTGGGAGAAGGCCCCTGCTTCACCTCACTGCCCAGAAGACCTTCGGCCCCCATGAGCCCACCCCAGCAGCCTGGGAGAACCCCCGTCAGGGTCTTTGAGGGCCAGAAGGGAACTGGTTTAGGCCCAAGTGGCCCTGATTCTCCTGAGGGACAGGGTCAGGGCAGGGACCCACCACTGGAGGGAGCAGCTGATGGGGGCTCCCTGCTGGGGTCTGGGGCCCGAGCATGGCCGGGGCTGCTGGGCATGTTCTCTCCTTCAGGGCTCATGCCCGCCCTGTGAGGCCTTTGGGTCACTGTGCCCGTTTCGCAGTTGGGGGCCTATGGAGCGATGGCCTTCGGCTTGTCCATGGCTGCACTGTAAGCGAGGGGTGGAGGGGGGATTCGAACCCAGGGCATCCCGTCTCCAGAGCACACCCCTTTACCCTTCTAGGGTGGGGCCCACAAGTCACAGCTGGCCTCTCCGGGCCCACAGCCCTGACAGGACAGCCTGGGGCTCCCGGTGTCTGCAGGCCAGGGCCGGGGGCCGTGACAAGCACAGCGTGTGCTCTTCCTCGCAGAAGTGAGTCAAATTATGGGGGAATTCAGCTCAAACCAACACGCCTTGCTGAGGGCCTACTGTGTGCCAGGCCCCGCCAGGGCAGGACCCGCTGTGGGCCGCGCACCAGGCCCCCGCACATGCTCACTCTGTGCGAGACTCTGTCCCAGGTGTTTTCCATCTCCTGACTCACTGCCTTGCCCAGCGACCCTGTGAAGAAAGTTCTGATGTTGCAGTCACTGAACGTTTGGGTAAATCAAGGCACAGAGGGGGCTCTGTAACTCACCTGGGCCACACAGCCCCCACCTGGCAGCCTGGCTTCTGAGCCCATAGTCCTCTCTCCGCTGCTCCAGGTTCCTCCTGGACTCCTTGCTGACCTCGGGAAGAGTCTTAGCCTGTTTCACAGAGGCAGAGTCTGAGGCCTGGGGCGTTCAGCATGAACTCGGAGCTGTGTGTCCCGTCTTCCTTCTGCACCATCTCTGTGTGTGTTGGGTAGAAGCAGCTGAGGCAGGAGCCTGAGAAGGGCTGTGAGAACCACTGACGTTGACGCAAGAGGCACAGGCCACCGGTGGTCTGGGCCGGCTTCCTGGAGGCGGCGGCACCTAAGCTGGCAGAAAGATTTGCTGGTGGAGATGCCCTCCCACACCCATCCCCTGACTCGGCACATTCCGGCAGTGCCTCACCTCCCACCAGCTCCGGCCCAGGGGAGCTGGGACCTTCAGAGAAGAGGTGCTTTGTGCAGCTTCATGGACTCCTGCCCACGTGGCCATATCCGCCAGGCCACTCAGTTGGGAGTGCCAGCACCTCCAACCTCCCCTGGCCTCAGGGACAGGCACAGAGCCCCAGGCAGCGGGCCAGAGGGCCTGGCCTCTAGTTCTTATCCAGCCACAGACACGTCATTTACCTCTGGTCTCGGTGTCTCCACCTTAGCACTGTGGGGTTAGATGGACTCCATCTGTGTTCTCACTAAAGGTCAGGCTCCTGGTGGCCTCTGGGGACCTGGATATGGAGACCTAGGCTCTACCTGGCAGGGGCTCACAGCCCAGTTAGGGACATAAACGTGGAGCAGACAGTGACAGTCCAGTGTGATAAATGTCAAGGTGAAGGGAGGCCCTGGGGAAGGAAAGGTTAGTTCCACCTTGACAGTCAGGGAGGACTACGTGGAAGCGGCAGCCCTTGAGCCAGGCCTCAAAATGTGGTCATTTCAGGAGGATATCTTGCCCCCTTCAGCCCATGCACTGGGGACAGTGGCTAATGTCACACACCAAGGGGTGGCCTTGGGAACCTCCCCCTTCTGCCTTCTGCCCTGGTTTAGGTCCCAGGGAGAGGTCTTCCCTGAGACTGCTCCCTGTGGCAGCCATGTCCTCGGCCCATGCCTCTGTTGGATGGGTTGGATGGCCCTATGTGGGGCAGCCCCAGGACCGTGCTACCTGCTCCCCTCCAGCCTCCAGTGAGGTCTTGGACGTCGGCTCCCGAGCAGAGTGATTCCTGGAATTGGGAAGCCTGACAGACAGCCGTGGGATGGAGGCCCCTGCCCTGGGACCACGTTACTGGTAGTGGACTGGTGGTCTCGGCCTGTTAGCTTGCAGGAGTGGGCGTGGCTGCAGCCAAACAGGTCGGGGACTCTGGGGAGGAACCCAGGGTCTTCTGTGGGCCCGGGGCCCTGAGCTCTGCCTCTTGTCCTGCAGGAATCCCAGCCTGGTTTAGGTCAGGCCACCAAACACCGCAGCGAGCCTTCACACACTCGCCTCCAAGCCTGGGCTGTGCACGTGCCCCTGCCAGACTCCACCTGAGTGTCCTCCTTGGAGTCCCCACTGTGGGCTTTTCCACTGTCCCTGGGGTCTCCCCATCCCTGAGCCCGGAGCCAGGATTGGCCTGGTCCCTTCCAGTCTCCGGGGCCTGCACGGTCAGCCCCCAGCACACTTAGACTGAAGAAAGGAAGACAGACAGGCTGGCCCACCTCTCCCCACCATCCGGGGGAGAAAGAGCTCAAGGGCGCAGCCGCTGCCCTGGCTGGGTCCTGCTGAGCCTCAGCACGGACACAGGACGCGGGACATGCGGGCCCGGGCAGCGCCAGGCTAAGCCCTGGCTGCCTGGCAGCTGTTAGTCCGAGGAGCGCGGGGGCCTCCATCACGCCGGTTTTACAGGGACCGCACTGAGGCTTGGGCGGAGGGACTCCCCAGGGTTCCAGAGCCAGGCTTTGACGCCGGGCTGCCTGACTGTACCCCCTGACCACCCCGGCTCCCTCAGACCACAGTCCCCAGCAGAGAGCCCGGCCCCTTGGTGGGCGTGCGGCTCTGGCCGGGACTGGACTCTGTGTTTTACAACATCTGCTTTCCGCCGCGTTTCCGCCCCGTGGGCTGGAGAGCAGCCTGCGCCCAGCAGACGCCGGCCTGGCCCGCGCCCAGAGCCGCCCCACGGCCGCCCAGGGAACTGAGCAGCCTTTCTTCTTGCCGGCGACAGCAGGGACCTCAGGGGACCTTTGTGTGCAGAGTTCGGGTGGTGGGCACCTCTCGTCCTAGGTTCCGCAGAGCCTGGCCTGGGTCCCCCGGGAGGACCCAGAGCCGGCCCCTGGGCAGGGACCCCAGGGCCAGCAGACGGGCCACACTGGAGGCCGATCTGCCCTCCCCATGGTCGCCACCCCACCGCCCCAGGCTTCCCTTCCAAAGCCCGGCCCCTTTACAGGCCTAGGGGCTTGCCGGGTGGGAGCGTGGGGCCCAGAGCCTAGGGAAAGTGAGCAGGGGCGGCGAAGTCCCGACCTCCTCGTTCCCATGGAAACCTTGAGACGTCTGCACGGGCAGTGAGGTCCTGGAGGCGGGCCAGCCTGTCGCCCCGGCCCCCACCTGACACGCCCACCAAGCCCGTTTTCCTGCAGCTGATTGCTAGTCTGGCTTCCAGGTGGGGCTCCCACCAAGCAGCAGAGGCCCTCCGTCCCAGCTTTCTGCTCGTTCCAGGCAGAAGGGCTGAGGGTGCAGCACTTGGCCGTTCCCAGGGGAGCCCAGGGCTGTCTTGCGGTGTCTCAGCTGCCCCTGCCCTTCGGGGCTGTCCCCCGTGGCTGGGGCCGCTCCTTCCCCAGAGCCAGCAGAAGGGCCCGCGGAGCTTGTCCAGACGCCTGCTTTTCACACTCCACTTCCACGGTTCATGCAGCAAGGCTGTCGGTCAACCAGGCAGAAGCACTTGGCCAGCACCTCCTCCGGGAGTCCCTCCCTGCCTGACGCCCTCTACCCAGGACGCGTTGCTGTTACTGGATGTGATCTCCCCGGCCTCCACTTCAGGCAGCCCGGCTGGGGAGGCCCCGGGCCCTCGAGTGAGACATCTGAGCCTCTCGGAGGCCCGGCCTCTCCGTCTGCCCGACGGGGTCACTCCCCCCTCGCCAGGATTGTCCTGTTGTGATGGGACCAGGGAGTTTGGGGCTCAGCTGGGACCCCCATGCCAGGCCCGGCACAGTGGCGGTGCTCTGTCAGTGTCTGTCCCGGGGACAGAGGGACAGAGCAGTGGGCGAGGCAAGCGTGTGAGCGGGAGCTCCCGCTGGGGCCGGGCCTGGGGCTCGTGTGTGGAGGAAGTGGGGACCTACGTCTCCTCTGCCCCGGGTCCCGCTTCGTCTGGCTTCTCCCGGCAGCTCTGGGGGTCACCCTGCTGCAGCCCAGTTTTATTAAATGGGGCAGCTGAGGCAGGGGACGGGTGGGTGAACAGAGGTACCAGATCCCATGACTCTGGGGCCTGGAGCCCGGCCCTCAGCTCCTGCATCCTCCACCGACGGGAGGGGTGCCTTGTGACCGGGGAGGGCGGGAAGCGGCTGCCGGTGCCCGTTGGGGCAGCGGTGATGCTCCCTGTGCCCACAGGACAGAAGCTGCTGGACTCCCTGGCAGAGACCTGGGACTTCTTCTTCAGCGACGTGCTGCCCACGCTGCAGGCTGTCTTCTACCCGGTGCAGGTG